ACATCGGTCTTATCAACACCCTCAGCGGAAGTCGAACCGCAACAGTGCAGGACGGATGATAACAACTTTTGGGAAAGCAAGGCTATGTGAAATTGAATGGAAAGGTCAGCTCAACTCATATCATTGTGGGAAAATTCTACTACCAGTCCTTCATCAGCTTACACGAAATAGGGTGAATACATTTTATATTACTTAAATAATACCATCAATAAATAACGTCTAAAAAGTTTTTTTAAGAATCCAAAGCAGGATTGTTGAACAGACCTACGCCATTTCTTGTCCTGGCTGAACTCTTTCAAAATCCGACCACACATCAGAGCATAAGCAGTTTTAACAACTGGTGTGACTGGTTTTATCCGAACTCGGAGCTTGAATCCAGACATAATTGTGTATTTCCGCCCGAATAGGAGTAGACACAGCAACGCATTTTAGAGGAGCTGAACAAGTAAAACGCATTTAGATCTTTTAAGGTGAAATCTGCTACAATGCTGATATGCAGAAGAGCAACCTGGGTTCGAGTCCCATTCATGGCACTGATGAGGGCTAGACCAAACTCACTCTGGCTAGGAATACCTTTTAGGAAGTAGGGCTTGGTGAAAATCAACTTGCTAGCGAGGCGCATCATGCGATTGGGGATAAGTTCACTATCACTTATTCATCACCTTCTTCAATCTGAAAATCTGTATTAAAATCCACTGATATTCGCGAAATCTTTACTCAATTTGCCTATAAATTGAAGCGTTTTTTGACAACAACCTAAAGCCGAAGAGGTGCTCTCTCCTCCGAAACGACCGACTTTATGAAACCACAGTTGTACCAACGTCGTTTGGCGAGTTATATCTCGTTCTCCTTTATTTAAAGAAAACCCCATAAATTATATGGTGGCTTGGATGAAGCAGCATTCATAAATAAATTACTGCAAACTATTGGATTTTATTTATAACAATGCCCAAAATAAATAAACCTAACCAAATTAGTTATAAATAAGAAGAGATAAAAGTATCAATCTTAAAGAACATAATCCCAATCTAATTAGAAAAATGGACCAATTATATAAGCCAGAAAATGAGTTAAACAGTAACAAAATTAATGTACAAACAAAAAATAACAAAATTCTTCAATCAATAGAAATATAATAATTCGCTTAAAGAACATAAAAAATAAATAAATCTTGCAAGCCGCAATTAAAATCAATAGAACATCAAGGCACAATATGCATAAAAAAATCAGCCACAAAATAGAAGTTTACCTTGTCTAAAAATAACCACCAATTAGATAAACTTAGAATCGCACATCCTTAATATTATTTTATCATACTTTAAATTGTTAATTTCGGACGTGTAAGGGGTAATTGTCATGGCACTTGGTAGAGGGACTGTTTCCAAAACATTCTTGTCTTCGTCTACTTTGGAATCTCTGTTTCATCAAGCTCTAAGTTTGATGTGCCCAGAATCCCACCGAAGACTTTCGGTCTACCCTTTGGTGCATTACGCACTAGGCGGTAATGATGCCATTATTCAGACTGTTGTTTGTGAATAAATGTATGAAACTGTTGACAACTAATTTGAACCTATGATTTTAAGCTTAAATTGGCTTTCACTCTTCGTCACCGTCGCCACTGAATATGATCAGGTGAGAAATGAATATTTCAATAAATCAGACGATACTACTTAAAAAAGATATAAGTAATTCGATTAAAATAAACGAATTTCAAGGTTAAATCGAGTAATCCGCCTCCTGACTTTGTGACGCTGTGAATAAGTGAGAAGAATGCTTGCATTAACCGCTGGACTGTCAGTACTTCCGTGTTATAATCTCGAAATTAAAAAAAAATTAACTAAATGTACAGCCTTGGCAATTATCAACTTGATATGCCTTCGGATGCCTAAGGGGATGAAAGTGCTGGTAAGAGTCTAACTTTCCTCAATGAAATGAGTAGATATAATCACGATGTGATAAGATTTGATCTAGCTTTATGCCTTCAAGGCGCTTTTTTCCTCGAACTGGACCGTAGCTTTGACATAGTCTAGACATAATCTGCAGAGTCAGCGAGATTGTCGACTTATTTATGCCATCCAAATGACTACGTTTACAATCCACAATAAAGCAACCAATACTAGTTGTTCTCGGGCAGATGAAGCTTCAGGGCAAGCCAGGTTTAGGCCAGTTCGCATTGTGCACATGAATTTAATTATACTAGACAATATTAATATGAGATGTATTCACCCAATTTCGTTTAAGGTGATTAAGGACTGGTAGAAGAAGAATTTTCCCACAATCATATGAGTTGAGTTCCATCGAAATTCACTGCCACGAGAGCCTTTTGGGCCACAGGGCAAATGTGAAATTTCAAGGAAGGCCAAGCCTTTATGTTATATCACATTCTTTTGATGGAATTGTCGATGAAGCAAACGTATAGCTGCTATAACAATCGACGACTATACTTTATTATTCGAATTAAGTATTGTTTTTGTGACTGCCAGTAAGTCAGTAATATGAGATGTATTCACCCAAATTCGTTTAAGGTGACGAAGGAAATTCACATCTTCCTTGTAACTCAGGGGCACTTTTGGCAATGTAGCTGAGTGAATAACGTGTCCAGTTCACATGCTGCACTGTCACGGTTCAACTCCGAGGGGGCGTGCTGATAGGACTGATTTCTGGATGAGAACTACTTTTAGGAAAGCAAGGCTATGGGAAATTGAATAAAAACGTCAGCTCAACTCATAGCATTGTGAGAAAATTCTTCTTCTACCAGTCCTTCATCATCTCAAATGAAATTGGGTGAATACATTTCATACTACTTATTTACTGGTAGTCTCGAAACGATACTTAAATGCGAAAAATAAAATAAGGTAGTCCATTTTTATATCATAAATGCGTTTGCTTTATCGACAATCCTACCTGGATGAGAACTACTTTAAGGAAAGCAAGGCTATGTGAAAATTAAATGGAAACGTCAGCTCAACTCATATCATTGTGGGAAAATTCATCTTCTACCAGTCCTTCATCATCTTAAATGAAATTGGGTGAATACATCTAATACTACTTATTTACTGGAAGTCACGAAAATAATACTTTATTCGAAAT